AATGGCGATCCCTAAAACATACTTTATCGTCCACATACTGGATCAGAATTCCATTAGGTTTCAATAAACCTTACCAAAGGAAAAAAAGACACCACACGCAGCGAGATATATTTCTGTTCTTAATATTTCAAGATGAAAACTGTTTTTTGTCGGAAAAAGGCATCAGTACCGTCGTGAACGTTGACCTCTCTCATGGGACCATTTCCGTGCGAGGTGAGCCACGGAGTACGTGATTGGCTGCGGATTGGTGCAATGAATCGCCTGATCGGCCTTGCTATGAGTGTAATTTATTTCATATGTAATGAAAAGATCAACCACTTAATTGCATATTCCATGATTGGTCTGTCTTGTATGAGAACACACAGACGCTTATTCATGAAATCRTACTATTATAGGGTAGGAAGATTACGTACTGTAATGTGATTGACGGAATGTCCCGCAAGCGGCCTTTTCCTAGGTGGTCTGGCACGCAGACTTTACCTTTACAAATGAGTGTATCTTTAAATACAGCGACAAATTGAAATAATCCTTTGAAAGTACCCTGGCGCCTCGTTTGAGCGCTTTGTGTTTCACCAGTGAACCGATGTATGGAAAATGATGAATTGAGTATCTGGTACTAATTGCGCCAGAAATTAAAATCAATCCGGTTCAATCAGTGGATATAGCTTTCTTGTACTCGCTATCTATCTATTTATATAATAAGAAAATGATAATGAATAACAAATGTGTATGTATATATGCACACCTACTTGCAAGAACGGCATTGTCATACTAAAATAGAACATTAATGATTTAGTGGGATAAGAATTATATCAAAAAACAAAAGAAGATCACTGAAGCTGAACTTTTTCTTTTATATTTCAATGTATTACTTTCTCACTAAACTACTAATGTTCTAATAATCGTATGACAACGTTCTTGCAAGTAGGTGTATGTATGTATGTATCAATTCAATATTTAGTTTAAATGAGCTATAAATGCCGCATTCCTTGGTCTGCTCTTTGAGACTATTCAAAGTATCGTTTTGGTATTGGTAATGAATCAGCATCATTAAGCATGAGGTTACGACAACTTTAATGAGGACATTTCGAATTCGTTTGTTGTTTTGATTTGAGTTGATTTGATTTTCTCACGGCAACCGTCTTTTGAAGGGCATATTGTTCTTAATTTTGTGATCATCAATGTGGTGTAAAATTAAGACTTTTCTAGAAAAAAACAATTATGAATTATAGCTTACTAAGACAAATAAGCATGAAGTTTATTTTAGGCAATCATTCCAATGTAATATGAACAAAATGCAAAATGGCAGAGGCCAATAAGCTACAAAATGAAAATTTTGTGTCATTATTTGGCGTTATGATCTTCATGTAGTTTTYGCGCGCTCGTTGTTTATTTGTACACGTTATAATCGTTGACGTCAGTCGAGTTTAAGAGTGAGAGAGTTAAAAAGGTCTGGCTCTTCACTTCTCCAATAGAGGCTTTGCACCATCACGTGATGGCATCCATGACAGGAGGCATAACAATGGAATGGTTTTAGTTTTCCCTTGAGAAACTGAATTATTTCTCATGTAAATCAGATTTAGACGAGATCCAATTGTTCCTGATCCTGTCATGTCTGCCATCACGTGGCTGTACAAAGTCACATGGCGGCCATGTTTATTCTTATGAGAATATAGAAACTTTTCTTTTACTCGCTTAAATTTATTCTCAAGCACTTGAATGGGAAGCTGAATCTTACAGATAAGATTTATTTTTCTTCAAGCAATTTTTTATCGGAAACAAAATCCAAGAAAAATTTGCTCGAAGAAACATAATTGCCGGTTTTCAGATGACGTCATCAAAACTACAAAATCTATTTTGTATTTTGCATACATTTCTCAAGTATGTTTTAGGAATCAGTGTTATAAGTCACAAGAAAAAATTTCGAGTCATTTCGATATTTGGTTCTCGAGTTATGAAGGTTGAGTTTGTGTCACGCAATGCCGTCACGTCTATCTAAATAGCGATCAAAATAGTAATTATTTACTCTAGTTAAAATATTTTCCCTTAGACACAGTGTAGACACGTTTTAAAGATCTGTCTAAGGTATATTTAAGTGAAATATAGTCAAAAATATTAAAAATTCTATCATCTTAAGCCTTTGAATTTCGTCCACCATAATGGTGTAACAACTTAGAACACCAAGATGGCCGCTCCATACATTTTAACCAAAAGTTGCGTCATGTTTACTCGCCTCTAGTTCCGCAACGAAATGCTTCACAGCCTCGAAATTTGGCCAGAATATGAAGTTTTGACCGCTTTACAAGATTATGAAACTTTTATTTCATTATAATGCGAATTTACGCTTTTGAAATTCATGATGACGTAGGTGAAAACCAAGAATTTTGAGAAAGGTCACATTCCCAGTAGCAAAGGGATTTATATTCTAGTTCGCTCCCTCGCTCAACCGAATGTGAATCGTTTATCATTTAATACTACACAGACTTTAGGAGAGTGTCCACACGACATCTGTCAAATAAATGTTCTGGATGAAACGGATGTAACGTCACGTTAAACCCTTACGTATTAATAAAAGGACAATAATGTCCAATTGCCAATTCTTTTCAGAAAATCAAACTACATAAAAACAGATAAACAAACCAAACAAACAAAATGTTCTTTCATTAGGAGGGCACCATGTTGCATTTCTCACATCAGATATATAACTGTTGAGATGTATTCGCCTGATAAGATTTTTATTTATCTTATATGCACTAGCATTCGCTCCAGAAGAGTCAAAGTCAACCCTTTAATAGACGACGATTCCACYCCTCCAGACTCTCCTGACATCMCYGTCGCCGATAAAACACRCCTACTTAGAAAACAAGAATTCCAAGTAAGTTTTATTGTGAACAAGTTTTTCTAGTTTTCCTACATTTCGCTTTACCACTTACTAACCACCTTCTCTTGTTCTTTCCTACTACTAGTTATCAACTACCTTTTCACGTATGCCGTAAAGTAGATGCTGAAACTCTCTAATGATAAAGTGGCATAGATGGTAACTCCTGCCAACCATTAAAACAAAAGATATATTTGTTTCGGTAGCCAATAKATCTCWGGTAGGCACACCAAATAATGTGGCAGTGATTGCTCGTTCTCCCTGAAAGCCAGAGACCCCGGGGGAAGGTGTGGGGGTTAGTAATCCCCTATATTTGCTATACGGGTATGTGCCGCCCTATAGGGAATGGGTTTTCGGCTTCTGGACCTGGGGTAGGGTATGGCATTTTTTGATATTCTGTCTGGGATAGGGTATCGTTTTTGTCTGGGATAGGGTTAACGATTTGGTCGTTATTGTCTGGCGAATAGGCTACGCTTTCTGCCGGCACAAAAGCAATAAAAACGTTAGTAACAATTGATTGCATACTATGGACTAACCGGGATTAGTCTGGGATAGGGTGTACAATTCTTAGTTTTAGTCTGGGGTAGGTATGGGTATGYAAAACCAAAATTTTAGGTCTGGGATAGGGTCAGGGTTTTGAGGTCCTGGCGGCACACCCCTACCTAAGTTGGGGAGGTGGTACCCCCCGCTCAAGCCAGAGGCTCGTGATTTTAAAGATTCTGGTTTACCGTCTCGTCTAGTTGTATAAAGCTCTCTTAAGATAAAAAASCTTAAAAACACTCGTAAGTATTGTCTTAGTACAATGGCCTATTGTTTTGGAACAATACTTACGGATGATCTTATGCTTCATGCAACCGGGCCCTGGACCCCATGCATGTGACGTCAAAGCAGGTCAATTTCGAGGACAATACAAAATAATTCCAACCAAATGAAAATTGGACCTATTATTATGTCCTCCAAATTAAGTAGCATTCCACGCACTGCAAGGGGTCTATATGTCCTTCGATGATRCTTAGTATTTTCCATTTTTCTACAGAAATCGAAGACATCATCTCAGTTGACGAATGAAGAATTAGAGCTCACGAGTAGAATTCCTGGTTCGGTTACGTAACCATGTGACGAAACGAAAATTAACATATAATAATACATCAAAATAGTCAGTTTTAATCTCGTTTTATACGAATGACGAAATAGGAAAGAGCATGCGTGCTATATGCTTTGATAAAGCACGCGCTATCGTTTATCCTGCATGGCTATAATTTGCAAACTAAACTTCGACAATTAAGTTAGATCTTCTTTGAATTTTCAATTAAATGGAGTAAAATAAAGGCAGAGAAAGAGTTAGTCTAGAACTTGCGTGCTATGAACCCCAGTAAAGCACGCGCTAAAGTTGATCCTGCATAGGTTATATTTTACAAACTAAACTTCGACAATTAAGTTCGATCTTCTTCGATTTTGTTTTTTTGTTTTTTTATTTGTTTGTTTGTTTGTTTGTTTTTTGTTTGTTGTTTTTTTTTAATAGAGTAAAATAAAGGCAGAAAAAGAGCCTCTAAAGCATTTTACTCACAATTTAACTTTGTTCTTTGTTCATCTATCGTATGTTATTACATAATAATAGTATTGGTGTTACTTTACCTTAAAGGCGTTTTTGCCTTGATTCCTCAATGAAATTAAGCTGCATGCCTTTTTTAAGTTTTTTATTTGTTTGTATTTTGTCTAATGTTTTTGATGGGATATAATCTAATCATCGTCAAATACCATTATGTACATATTTATATATTTCTTTCAAACCGGAGGTTCACTGTCTTCAATGTTTTTTTTTACACACAAATATAAAGAATGTGATGACCTTATAAGATGGTAAAATTGATTGGGAGGGGTGGGAAAGTAAAGCTACGTTGTTAAGGAGGGGTGGTAAGAGGATGTTTTGGTTTTGGTTTTGGAAGAGGGGTGGTAAGGGGAATTTGAATTCATAATCTTCCCTTACCACCCCTCCCCAACAACGTGGCTTTTCTTTCCAACCCCTCCCAMGTTTTTTACCTTCTTATGGCGTCATCACATTCTTTACATTTTTGWGTGATAAAAGTRCATACATATGCACTACTACTATTAATTAAAAATAGTAAAATTAATATTTGTTATTTTCATATTAATTAATTCCACGATTTAGGGAGCTATCTTCAGGGAGCAGCCTCGTGGATGGATCTTTGATTTGAAAACATTCAGGTGTCTCTGGTGGAATGGTAAACCCATCTTTTGATTGTATACTCATTCTTTGTCCCCTTACTTGTTTCAGTGTAACTGCATAACTATCTTCAAGATGAGGAGGCTCTTCTTTCTTTTCATCTTGATCACACATACCTATACGTCTTCTTATCCTACAACATAACAAGCACTTTATTTAAGGCGAAATTTATTTACATCTACGTGGCATGTAAAGTCTATGCAGATTCAAATTCTCAATGCGTATGAGTGGACATGGATATACAAGTGACACCAGTTGATACAAGGAACTGTCATTGGCCAATCAGCTGGACCAATCAGCGCGCAAAACCACGCAATATCCAATTGGAATATTTAAGCGCAACACCGTCAAGTCACAGGACTCATAGTTCTTACGAATAGAGAATCCAAAATTAAGTTAGTGCCGCAAAATGAAATATCTTTAATATGTTTTTTCGAAATGTATGCTCTTTGCTTTTATTAATAACACATCTATTGTATTTTTATGTTAATCTAATCCACCTTTTCCAATTTGAATTGTCAAATTTAAATATAATGATGATATGTACGCCAAGGGATTAAATCTTGAATAATTTAACATAATACATTACAACAAAGAAAAGCTATCCCACCTTGCACGCATAAACTTGATAAGCATAACGGTGGTGATAACCAAGAACGCAACAATTCCCAGTGAGACTGATACGTACTTCCAAGCCTCACTTTGCCTTGTTTGCTTCCCCGTGCTCTTTGTCGTATTCATATCAGTGGATTCATTTAACGCTGTCATGGTTGGTTGCACGTAAAGAGTGCTTGATACATTGCTTATTGTAGGCCGCGTGTTTACTATCGTAGACATAGATATTAATACTGACAAGTTTATTAACTTTGTAGTAAACACAGAAAAATTCGTCTTCGGAATGATACTTGAGGTTGGCATAGGAGTTGTAGAAACCAGGCTATTACCACACATGACAGCAAATTTTGCACAGCTCTTTATTGTATCCGTCGAATTACAAGAAATCTGGTGGAGCGACTGATTGGATGAACAGGATAAATTACAATTCGCACCATACCAATCCTTGTGACACACCTTTGTACCATTACCAGGATCACAACTGTAGTGACCAGTAGAGTCATT